TCGGGCCCCTGACGGGATTCGAACCCACGACCTAACGGTTGCGAGTCCGAGAGTTTAACCATTAAGCCACCGACGCCACAAACATCTATAGGTCTTACATGAATGGGACATTGGGCGCAATTTATGAAATCATACTCTTTCATTCGCGCTCTCTTTCTTACAGAGTGTGTGTGTGTGTGTGTGTGTGTGTGTGTGTGTGTGTGTGTGTGTGTGTGTGTGTGTGTGTGTGTGTGTGTGTGTGTGTGTGTGTGTGTGTGTTTTCAAACTTCCGTATATATATATTTTTTTTAGAGTATCATCAAAACTTCATTGTTGGGATTTAAAATGATATCTCTCATCACCTTCCCCTTTCTCTCTCTCTCTCTCTCTCTCTCTCTCTCTCTCTCTCTCTCTCTCTCTCTCTCTCTCTCTCTCTCTCTCTCTCTCTCTCTCTCTCTCCTTCCCCCCACTCTCTCTCTCTCTCTTTGTTCTTGTTACTTTCTTCTCTCTCTCTCTCTCTCTCTCTCTCTCTCTCTCTCTCTCTCTCTCTCTCTCTCCATCTCTCTCTATCTCTCTCTTTCTCTCTCTCTTTCTCTTTCTCTGTCTCAGTGTCTCTCTCTTTCTCCACTATCTATCTTTCTCTCTCTCTCGCTCTATATGTGCGTGTGTGTGTGTGTATGAGTGTGTGTGTGTGTATGAGTGTGTGTGTGTGTGTGTGTGTGTGTGTGTGTGTGTGTGTGTGTGTGTGTGTGTGTGTGCGCGTGTGTCTGTAGTTATTAATTTCCCTTATGTACACATTCATATCAGTAGGACTACATACATACATTACATACCTACACTAAACTTGCATGTCAACAATAAATATACATATAAATTCATCTGTAAAGACAAACAAACCAATAAACATACTCTCACACAGTACAAACATGAAGACATATTGACATGCATAGCAGAGTTTACAACATACAGGCACACTGGTTTTATTAAACGTTGATAAACATCTCAAATTAGTAGCATTATTTTACATCATTTAAGTGGTACGGTCAAAAACTCGTGGCACAACTTGTCCTCAAATATCTCTTTAACGGGTGAATCAATGTCACCCATATTGCATAGCAGTTAGTATCAATTTGTCTTAACTAAATCATATTTTTCCACAACAATTGAGACTAGATTTTAAAACTTTTACTTTAGTCTTCATGAATTTATATAAAATATAAATCTCCACCGCGCGGAAAATGGGATTGTTCACAGCACTTCCCACTTCTAGCACACATTGTTTACGCATACGGCCAACATCACAGCTTACCAATGACACATTTTAGTGGCAAAACTTATTACAATAAATTAATGTTATAGTGACCAAATTTATTGCACTAAAGATTCTCAAAGCATGCGTTCAATAAGCACAATGACACGATTTTTAAAAAATTACAGACTTTCTTTTAAAAGCAATATTGCCCCAGCTTTAAACCTTCTAAAATCTGTAGAAATCACCCACTTGCATTTTTTTATTAGTATTTATTAAGGAATTTTCTAGAATACAGGTAGAAGGTGTTTACGATTTGTTTGAATTACAGACTTTCTTTTAAAAGCAATATTGCCTCAGCTGTAAACCTTCAAAAATCTGTAGAAATCACCCACTTGCATTTTTTATTAGTATCTGATTCTATTAAGGAATTTTCTAGAATACAGCTAGCAGGTGTTTACAAAAATGTTAATCAGCTAAGACAATTGATACAAGATATTGTGTAAAAGTTGGAGAAAGTATGTTCCATAGTTGAGGAGATATTTGACAATAAAATGTGCCTTGGATTATTGACCGCACTATCGTATGGGATATTGACATAGGAACTATGATGCCCTGACGATATTGCTGCTTTAACGCCCCCAAATCCGGAAATTTACAATTTACTCTTTGTGATTTTTAAAGAAGAATGATACTGTGGCAAGGAACTGTTTGTTTATTTTTTCTTGTTCCTAGACTTTGGAAAACCCTCCGGCTCATCATCAAACTTTAATCTTATGTGTATTCGGTCTCACAACTCACACACAATTCACATTGATCTTTTTTGGCTTATGCATTGACATGTTATACTTTTAATCTAGCACTAATTTAACACACAGCCAGTCCATGACAAGTACAGACTGTTTCGCAAAAGCTCCGACAGATTTCAAAAACAGGGTCCAAGACACAGTCATCTAGAGCTTTGTTTGCAATAATGTAAGTGGACCCTTGGAAGTACCAGGTGACCAGAAAAAGCGTCCCTCCAAAAGAACGCCCATAAAGCCGTTATGGATAAATGCACAGACATCAAAGTTTGCAGAGACGTGGGATACCCCTCCGGATTTATTATGTATTCAAAACAATGAAATATGACAGCCCCTCTTACAAAGTTACAAGATATCTTTCAGATACCCCCAATTTCGAGTAAAGCACATCCGGACACCTTGAGTGAAACTGACAGTCAACCACTGCTCAAGAGAAATTACTGTTGTCCCCTCGGTGATGGTTTATCGCAAGTCGCTGGCTCTTTCCCCTTCATCATCAACAAATTAAAGCCCAAAGCCCCTCCACAATTTGGTAAGATGACGAGGTGTCGGTCGGAGTTCACCAAAAGACAGAAAACCTTAACCTTTTCAAGAGTGTGTTGTTTTGACAGGCTGCCTTCCGTGTGCTACTCAGTACTTGGAATTCAAATCTAATTCTCAATGGATCAAAATCTTTCTATTTTTGCAGCCCATTTCAAAATGGTCCCCACGTTTGGGAAATTATATTTGTTACAGATATCATCCCGTATTCCCGAACAAATCAAGCACAGGTCGCCTTGGGAGAATTTTTTTGTTGCTGATACGTCTAAACCAAAAAAGCACGTTGTACAAAGACTAACTACTTTAGCATATTTCTGTTGTGCAACAACACTTTTTTTAGAAACATAACCCAGATGTATATTCTAGCTTTCAATCAATTTTGATATCAATTGAGTGCTAAACAAGAAAGAGGAGATTGGTCTTATAGATGTAACCCAATAGAATGACCAAACACAAAATGAGAATAGACATCTGCTTTCCTCTTGAAAAAAAAGGATGGTGATTTGAAGATATAGCCTCATATTGTATGGATTGAATAATCTAATTTAACGTATTCATACAAGGTATCTGATCCCATACAATCGGCAGCTTCCAAGTTAGAAATTTTCATTTATAATAATATTACTGCATATATTATTTTAATATTATTTCATTATTTTACTCTAATCAATTGTATTGTTAGCATTATTGTTTTTTTAATATTGATGTTATGACCATGTTTCTTCTTCTTCTTCTTCTTCTTCTTCTTCTTCTTCTTCTTCTTCTTCTTCTTCTTCTTCTTCTTCTTCTTCTT